AAATTATGTATGTATGTTCATATGTAGATATTTTTGTTGTCTTGTCACTATATGAGGTCGGGGTGTACTATAAGAATAATCTTTTATGTTTTTTTTTGTTTAACAGTAAAATTATTTGGTTTATCGTAAATTTATACAGATTTTTTTTTCTTTTGTTAAATACCGTAGAATCATAATTAAAAATTTAATTTAATTGCACAATAACACAATTATTGTATTGCCAGTACTTAAATAGATAATACAAATTAATAGATTTCTCATAAACTTATTTTAAATTAAGCAAATTGGAGTTTTCAATTCTAATATCGTAATTGTCAAAAAATGGGTTAAAGTTTATCAAAATCCCATTAGAAAAATTGAAACATCTGGCATGCCTGTTGTACTAATAAAAACAATTCTCGCTATTAACAGCGTTAATACTTATGACAGTATTGCCATGCAAGCATATTATGTCATATATCTACAATATTGTAACAGTTTAATTGTAACAATATTATTCTACACTATTAAAGTTCCGTTGCTCTTGATTAATAAAAAATTTGAGCTTGTTATCATAAAAATAACTCTAATATGATTTCTAAATTCATACAACATTTACAAACTATAAAAAAAAAGGAGTAAATGAGAGAAGAACTGTTAATTTTAAATGGATTCTACTGTAAAAAAAAATATGCATTAGCGAATTTATTAAATCTATTATTGTATGTAGGTAATTTTTTGATAAAAATACATAAAAAAATAAAAAAATAAAATAAGGCCACAAAAAAATATTTTTTTTTTACTTTCTGTTAATCTCCTGCTGTTAATGTCGTTCTAGGGTTAACCCAATGTTACATTTGTAAAAAAATTAAAAAAAAAAAAAACTGCTATCACAAAAATCTTAATAATTCCTTTGATTTTGATTTGTTTTTTTTCTCTAACGGAAATAATAAAATACAAAATTGAGATTTGTCTTAAATTTATAGGTCAATATATTTTCGATAATGCTAGATAGGAAATAAAATACATAGTATTATGAATATTGCGGTATTGAAGAATAAAAAATAAAACCTTTTAAAATGCATTCGTAAATATTTAATTTACAATTAGCAAGGAATGAATCCTAAATTTAAAGCAATAAGCTTGAATTGTATGGCATCATTTTAATAAAAGAACTTAAGCCGATACTCAAAATTAAATTACCTACGTTGTAGGATATAACGCTAAAGAGCTAGTTTTTTTGAAAGTGGTATAAGTCCATTTTTTCATATATTGAGATATTTATGGTTTTGCATTTGAATCAATTTAAAAATATTGACCATAATAACATATTTTGTTTGTTTTATGTTTAAGCAGAACTCTATTGAAAGTGTGATTGTAACTGTGGAGATAAGATGTCTATAGCTCATCAATATCACCATTAACTTAGTCTTTTTAAAAAGTGGACTTATACCACTTTCAACAAAACCAGCTTAAATACTTTTATAAGCTTCATAAATATTGAAAAGAAGTTATTCGAAACTCTGCTGCTATAGGTAAAAATACCCTGAATCAAGCTTAACAGGCTTAAGGTAACTTTTATAAATCAACAAAAATTTAACGTTTACTGAAATTTTGCTTTTGCAACAGATTATGAGCTTATGATTGACGTATCAAAATGATTATAAAAAGTTATTTTTAAAGAACGTCCTGGTGTTAGTTTGCTAAGCCACGTTTTTCAAAATTTATTTGAGTTATAATTCTTCAAATACGAGTAAGGTTTCATCTATGATTCTGTATGTCCTGCAAAATACTTGTTCAATTTTTATTACTTGTAGAAATTTTACCACAATTTTTTTTTTTATTATTAAAATTAAATTGTAGTTCCCGAAAAACAATTATATTATATAATAACATGTACATATATACATATTATGTATGTATTATGTATAATTTTGACAACGCATGTCCATAAACAAATGTTGCAAATCAATCAATATTTTGGCAAATATTGCTAAGCTACCAGCAATATAATGAAAATTGTTATGAGTCGAACTTATGTGGATTTTATACAATATTGTCAAAAGTACATGCGCATGCATACATTGCATATCTATTAATGTCATGCTTTTTGCATGAGAAATGTTGAAATCAGAAAAAATTTTGATATATGAAGAACAAATGTCTAATTGCTTGTTTAAGGTGTAAACTTTAATGTACCATGATTTTTCAAATGTGCTGTTCTTTTTTTTTTTTTGCTCATTTCTTAAAAAGAACAAGACACACGTTTTCTTACTTTTTAAGATTTTTAAAAAAATATTCAATTATAATTATTGTTGCATTATTATTAATTAATCATGTTATTAAGGCTATCAAAAACTCCTTCCAAATACGGATAATCTCTTTGATCTATATGAAATATTTTTTGGATTTTAAAATTGAAAAAATGAATTAATTTTCCATATTTATGATTTTTTGTAAATTGAATTCTTTTAATCGCATATTTACGATAAATTAAGTGGGTAACCTTTTTTAAGGTCACTATTTTTTTGATGTTATCGGATGTTATCGCACTTTATAGAGCCAGCATTAAAAATTCTTTTTTCGGAAATTCTATATTTTCTTTGTATTTAAGTTCAGTTTTATTTTTGTTTGTTAATTTGACAGAGGAATTAATTTTTTGCTTTTGTTTTTATTAAAATTCAAAATTTTTTCTAATTTTGTACTTGACCCCAATTTTCCATTCCTCATTCTCTCAATTACTTTTCTCCATTACAGAAAATAATGTGTTTTTCTTTTACATTGTAATAAAACTTTTAAATTTTTTTTTTGTTATTTTAGTTACTTGGTACTCATGGGTTAAATTTTTATTTACTTGCATAGTTTTTTAATTGTATGGTTGAAATAAAATGTTTTTTTTTTTTTTAACAATTTTTTGTTGTAGTATGGTTAACTACGTATCTGGGTAATCTCAACAACCAGATAAAAATAACAAAAGTAATAAACATCAATTGTTTTTTACCATTTGGTAATAATTGTGGTATAATGGGTTCAAAATGAAGAAAAAAAAATATTTCTGTTCTTGAAAAAATTTTTTTTCCAAAATCGATTAAAGAAGACAATAATATCTGAATGTGTGTGTATTAGGAAACCAATGGAAAAACTAGTAATGGTTAAAGGTATTACATTTGACCTAATTTCACTCCAACTTGATAACAATTTTATTATTATTCTTTGTATATTATTACTTGCATATATTTTGGATGGTATGAAATTATTTAAATGGTAATTAAAACAAAATAAGAATAAATTTGAAATTCAAATGCAAATGGGGGTACTCTTAGAATGTTTTGGTTAAAAATTTAAATTTTGTGAGTGTATATAGAAGCTTAGCTCTTATGCATTAATAAAATATTATGCATGATGATTTTTCAAGAGGAAATGAGCATTGAAAAGGAGAAGTCAAATGTTTTCTTTAAAAAATGAAAATATTTTCACTTGAAAACTAGTTAGAATTTTTAAAAAATAACTAAGAGTTACTTATTATATTTGGGTAATGGGGACATGAATATATGAACATATTTATTTTAACAGAGTTGGTACACAAATTTAGGCTTTAGAATCTTAAATAACATTTTTGTTTTAAAGTTGTTGAACGCCAATTAAGTCTATAACAAACAAGTAGCTTACAAAACTATAATATTTGAAAAAAAATGCGCTTGTTTTCAAATCAAATATAAAATTCAAAGTAGAAAATTTAATTTTCCGTAAGAACGAATAAGTATGTTAAAAATTAAGTTCAAACACACGGTAGATATTTGCGAGTTGATTCGCCATGAAAAACAACTAAAATGGCAACAAAGTGAATTTTAATTCTAAAAAATTAAATTTCAATTTCAAATATAAATTTAAAATTCTTACAATTTTTCAGCTATTTAAATTTGGGTAAAATTCTTTGAATTTTAGCAACAATGGTGAATGGTAAATCAAGAAATTCAAGATGATCTGATGAAATTCAATTGTATTTAACTTTGATTCGTATAACGAGTCCTCTGGCAATATTATTCCCTTTATTTATTCTTTGTAGAACTCTTCTATATCTTCTGAAGCATAAATCTTAAAACACCTTGTTCTAAAATTCAAAATATAGTCCTTTTTTTTTATACATTTTCCTCTTAATCCGAAATTCTCATTCAATTTCGGAATTCCATTATGAAGACGCGCATCACTTAATAAAGACTCTGTTTAATTTCTCATAATTTCTTTCTTTTTTTTTTCTTCTTTAATAATCATTTGACACAAATTCTTAACATTCTTAAAAGTTAAATAATTTCTTTGCCTTAAATAAAACTTCTCTAGTGGCATTATTCTTTTCAAAAAAGAAACTCTGGAACATTTTTATAAGTACAAGTACATTCACCTAGAATAAAAAAAAAGAAGATGTAATTAAGTATTTAAAAAAACAAAAAAAAAAAGTAAAAACACAAAATTTTTCATTCACAAAAATTTTTTTTTTCTTAAACAGAAAAAAAAAAAATATTTTCCAAAACATTGTAATTGATAAAATGCAGAAATCCAGAACAAAAATAAAACAAACAGTAAAAAAAAATTAAAATACTACGCTGTCGCGGATCCGCTACATTGTACCGCATTTTTATATTAAAAAAAATTTATTTCGTTATTTTCTCTTTATGGACAGGCGTTTTTATTAAAATCAAAATAAACATTAAAAAAATGGAGTTGGTCATGTCAACTCTGTGATACCTGTACGAAGTTGTAGGACATTTTGATTAAAATGCAACTTCGATCAAATCCGTATTAAACATCCGGGTCCTGGGGCCTTACCCATATAATTCGACTTTCGTTAAACGATTTTACTATACAAATTGATCTAATCTTACAGAAAATCGAATTACATAGTAGGGGCGCTGGTAGGTACTCGTAATTACTACCATAAACTCTTTGTAAACAATTGGTATAGATCCTAATTCTATAGAGTTTTAAGTCATCACAGGAACGGACCGATATTCATTGTCAATATAATGCATGTATCACACACTGTATCACAGACCGTCAGTTTAGCGTTACAAATGAGAGTGATGAATTTGTAATACCCTTCGAATGTACATTCGTACGGGTATAAAAACTTTGAGTTATTTGCAAACAAAAACACAAAAGAATAAAAAAAAACACTTCCTACAATTTCATGCAAAAATATTCAAAAAAAAAAAAAAAGGCGAATAAAAACTTAAGATATAAAATAATTTACATACATGATAATAAATTTGAAATTAATTTATAAAAAAAAAAAAACAAAAAAAAACAGAAAAAAAAATTAAATTGTATTTTTTTTTTCTTTTAATATTTTACAGAGGAAAATTTGCCGCTGTTAGACGAGCAATTCATAAAAAATCTGGTGTACATTTTGCTGCAAAATTTTTAAAGAGACGTCGTCGAGCTCAATCATCTGACAAAGAGATAAAACATGAAATTGCTGTACTTATATTATGTTCAGATTCTGAAAATATTGTACAATTAAATGCAGTACATGAATCAAGAGCAGATACAGCATTACTATTGGAATTGTAAGTAGAATTTGAATATATGTATGTACGTATCTCAATCATACACATATATATGAAAATATATATGTATATACATATATTGTATACTCTAATAATAAAATAAATTATATTAATTGAGAATATTATTGTTATTGTATATAAACAGTAGAGCATTAGTTAGAGAATACTATTGAAATTATTATAATTTAATAGGTTTAAAAAATTTAAAGTTATTAGACCTCATTCTAATTGTCGAATCATTAAGTGATGGTGACGTTTATCCGAAAAATTTCAAAAAATTTTATTAAAGCCACAAACAAAAATAGATTGGTTTGTGTTTACAATAATAATATCGAACTATTTACGATATTAATGCTATCACTTAGTGATTTGATACTCAGAATATACTCCATTGTTATATTATTACTAGAATTTTCGATAACAAACTTTTCAAAGATCAATTAGAAAGAACTCTCAGCAGTCAAAATTTTTATTTTGGTAATGACTTATTTGATACTTCCCAAAATTACAATATTTCAGTATGACGATTTGAAAATTTTTAAGAGCCTCGAGTACTTCTAACAAGAGCTTGAATCCACCCTCCCGAAATTTTAACACATAATCAAAATTTATTTCTGTCTGCGCTCACTTTGCCATTTTTAAATAAAATTCTCCAAAAATAAAATTACATAGCTGGAGATTTCGAGAATTTTCATTGATAGTTTCATTAGAGAATTCACTGTATATATTCAAATTTATGAAACTACACAATGAGAAGAATTTAATATTTTGTTTTTGTAACAATGCTATTTATTAATACGTATATATCGTATATGTTAGTACGGACATTATGCTAATGGGCTAATACTATAGCATTTATAGCCACTAACATGATTATTATCAACAATATTTTAATGAGAACAAAATTTTCTCATGCTCAAAGCGTTTTTAATTTCTTTTAAAGTTATTCTCTTTCATAGTTATTTTGACAAAAAGAAAGTAATTCTTATTTCTGAATTAAAGTACAGTTCACAGTGTGTTCTTTTAGTAGAGCACTTAGTTTTATTAATTTTCATTTAGTTTTGACAGAAAATTAATGGAGTTTATTGATAAATATAATCTATATATTTGACAAATAGAGAAATTTAAGATATTTGAGTGTCTTTGATACTCAGAGATTAGTCAACTAAATAAATGAGATTATAACTCTGAGTTAATAAGATCTATTGAGAACTGTCAACAATAATGTCAGTTTGGAAATATTTTATTAAAAACTTTTATATTTTCAATACTAATATTTGATTATTAATTTCAGAGCAACTGGTGGTGAATTACAAGCTTTACTTGATAATGAAGGATCGTTGACTGAAGCACAAGCAAGAATTTGCATGAGAGAAGTACTTAAAGCACTACAGTTCCTTCATAAAAGATCAATAGCACATTTAGATTTGAAACCACAAAATATTTTGTTAACTGGAGAAAATGTTGAAGGTAAGTTTATTCTTTTTTTGTATATTTCAAAAATTTTATATAATTATTTTTATAAATATTTTTTTTAGATGGTTTAAAATTATGTGATTTTGGTATATCACGTGTTATTGAAAATGGAAGTAAAGTACGTGAAATATTGGGTACACCTGATTATGTTGCACCAGAAGTTTTACAATATGAACCATTGTCTTTGCAAACCGATATATGGTCAGTTGGTGTATTAACTTATGTTTTATTAAGTGGTTATTCACCATTTGGCGGCGATACAAAACAAGAAACATTTTTAAATATATCACAGTGTGCATTAACTTTCCCAGATGATTTATTTAAAGGTGTATCAGATCAAGCTATCGATTTTATGAAGAGCACATTAAGAATAAAACCAAAGTAAGTAATAAATTTTATTAAACTTAAAGTATAAAGTTAATTTCGTTAGCTATTCTATTTCGAAATAAGATGACCGATAAAATAATAAAAAATTTGAAATGAATTAAAAATGTTATTAATTTTCTTTTTATAATTTTCTGTTTTAGTGATCGTTTAACTGCTGCAGAATGTCTAGAGCATTTTTGGTTAAAAGATGAATTTACCATAGACAAAAGATTTTGCAACGGATCAATGGCCAGTGATGGAATATCATCGGATCCATATGAAATAATCGATGACGAAGATGATGAAGATGAAGATAGAGGAATTGAAGAAAATGATAGTGATGATCAAATATCAAATATCATAATAAATAAAAAACAAAGCACAAATAATAAAACAAATGGTTGTTTACAAAAACCAAGTAATAGTTTTAATAATAGTATTGAATTAGCTTCACAAAATCACCACCAAAATGCTACTGCAGCTGCAAATTCAAATGGCCGTATTACTTCATCTTTAACAACAAGAAAATCTAGTAATAATATTAATAATACAACATGTAGTAATAATAGCACAATTAATATACAAAATAACCAAAAATCATCAACAGTATCAACAACAACATCAACAAATTATGATGAAAAAACAAAAATGATAGATGAAAATAACAGTGAAAATAAAGAAAATTATTTAATGAATTCATCACAATTAGTACTTCATTTAAATGGTAATAACAATAGTAAATCAACAACAATAACAGCAAATTCAGGAACATCAACAGTAACAAATAATCGCTTAAATAATAGTAATGTGTCACGTGATAACAATTGCAGTTTACAATTGAACGGTTTAAATAATTGTAATAACAGTTTTCAAACAGAAACAAATGGTTATGATCATTATCATCATAATCAACATCAGCATCATCAAATTGAAAAATTAAAATCACCCCAATTAGTTAGTTCAAGTTCAAATTCATCAATGACATTTTCACCAAATAATTCAACAACAGTTTCAACAAATACATCTACAACAAATGGCCATTTAAATCAAAATGGTACAATATTATTTCCAGATGCACCAACAACACCAAAAGTAATACGTAAAGCACCATCAGATTCACCAACAAGTGTTAAAGCATTAGTTAAAAAATTTCAATTAGAAAGTGGTGAACCATTACAAACACCAACATTATTAAAAGAAACTGTTTTAGGTACAGAATATAATGAATGTTCATTAACAAATGGAACATCATCATCATCAACAACAGCAACAACAACAACAACAACAGCAAATGATTTAAAATATTTAAATGGTTGTAATGGCAGTAATAGTTGTAATAATATTGGTAATAATTCAAATGATATTTTAAACAACGAACAACATTGTAATAGCAGCACAAAATTATTAAATGGTAGCAATACAAATAACAGTAATAGCATTAATAGTTCACCAGTTAAATCATTTAAAGCAACTGTTGCAAGTGTTGCTGCAGCAGCTAGTTGCAGTGTATTCTGTTTACATAAATGTAATGGTTGTGGTAATTCATCTGGATGCCGGCATTCTGGTAATACTACAACACAAGTTGTTAATAATTGTAGTAGCAATAATACAACAAAAACATCGAGCACTATTTGCCTAGATCACAGTATCATTTGTTAGCTAAAAAGGTTTTTTTGGAAATAATTTTATTTTATTTAAGATTTATTAATTTTATTTAAGTTTATTAATTTTTAAAAACAATTATTATTACTGTATTTTTGTATTTACTAATTAATTAAATTAAATAATTACCTTTTTTTTTTTTTCTTTCTTATTATAATATTATAATAATATATATATATAAATTTTTTTTTTATATTTTTAATATTTAATTTAACTTAAACACAAAATTCTAAAACAGAAAACCGAAGAAATACATAACATTTTATAATTATCTTAAAAAAGACAGAGAAGATGATGAAAACAAAAACATAAAGATATAATAATTTACATAAACTGTTTTTCTATTTAATTTTTTTTTTCAATATATTTTATAATACACATTATAAATTTGAACTTCTTAAAATTTTGTGTTTTATTTCATTAAAATATTTTGTTTTTTTCACACAATTTTTATTATTATTTAAGTTTTTTGCTCTTAAGCTTACAGGAATTGATTTTGATATAATGTTGATTAGCCTGAAAATATGCAAAATTATTTTGATTTAATCAAAATGTAAATTGAATTCGAGAATCGATTTTAAATCAATAAAAAATATCAAATAGTCAATGCAAAAATAAAGTAAATTTATAAAATAATTGAAGTATTCATGAAAATTTACTATTAGGGTATATAAAAAAATTAATTTTTATAGATAAACGGAAAATAAAAATAAATTAAATATAAAAAAAAGAAATAGAATTTTAAATCAGATTTGCAAAAATTAAAAATATACGAATCGTTGAAAAGTTAAAACATGACAAAATTGAGTGTTTAAATCTATTTAAATGTTACTCTGAATGTTAAAAGCAAAAAATTAATAAAAATTTAGAAATATTTACGAATTATTCAATGTTAAATGTTAAAAAAATGGAAAATTTAGTAAAAAAATCGAAATAATAAATAATTTTAAGAAATCATTAGTATATCAACGTAAAAATCGTATCAATTTATAATATTAAAATTTTTATAATAATAATTGGCTCATATCATAATAATAAAATTATATTCAAAATAAATGTGCTGTATAATTTTATAAAAAAAATAAATTAATTTATTTATTTTCATTAGAATTCAAAATTTGTATTAATCGTGTATTTATAATGTTCTCCTACTGATTTAGATATATATATATATATATTTATTTTTATAATTTACAAATTGGAAAATTTTCCATAATAATTTTCAATAAATCACTTTCAGTTTCTCTAGTATTTTTATATTATTTTTCAAATTGGTAAAATTTAAATAAAATTTCAATATTATTAAAATTAAAATACTCTTAATGTTACAATTAAATAGTATATTGTTATTAAAATTTTATAAAATTAAAATAAAAATAAATACATATTGAAAAAGAAATCGAAAATTATAAAAAAAAAAATATATTAAAAAAATAAAACAAAAATTTGCTGATGCAATTTTTGATTTTAGTATTATCATTGTTAGTAGATATATATACGTCATAATAAATTATAGAAATCGTGGCGATTTTATTGTAATAAATAAAAATTATTAGGTTCCAGGAAAAATTAAACCTAATGTCATACAAGATTTATTATAAATCTAATAATAATATTATGTAGTTCATGTAGAATTATTATTTTTTTTTTAATAATGCGAATATACGAAAAAAATAAATAGATTTTCGAAATTAGAATCAATTCAGCGAATTAGAAGCAGCCTTTTATAATGAAATTCAATTATTTACATTATTTTTTCGATAATAGACTGTTGGAAACTTTTTCTAGACTACGAACATTTTTTTTTTTTTTATCAAAATGATAATTAGAATTGAATTCGAAAATTTTGAAAAAAATATTGTTTTTTCAATAATTAATATTAAAATATAATATTAAATATGTCGCCTAAAAACAAACAAACAAATAATTTTTGAAACAATAAATTTTGAAAAAAACAATTGAACGAAAAATGCATATCAATAAATTTTTGTTATAATTATAAAATAATATTTATAAATAATATTGGAAGGATAATAAAAAAAAAACAACTGAAAATTCGTGTTCAAAAAAAAAAAAATGAATTTAGCAAGTTAATTAAATTTATCAATAATTGAGTAATTGTTGTGGTTTCATTGTTATTTTTATTAAATATAATAAAATATATTGAAAATATCATAGATACTAAAATAAAGAAACAAAAAAAAAAATAATACATAAATTCTATTAAATGTTAATGTTGAATGTAAAATTGATCAAATAATAATAAAAAAAAAAAAAAATAGAGAAAAAAACAAAGATAATGTTTTGTAGGTAATAAAAATTAAAAAATCACTAAATTTATAATGTTTGCAATTATAAAATCAATTGATGATTGAATTTAATTATGAAATAAAATAAAAGTAGTTGAGCACAAAAAAAAAAAAAAAACAATAAATAATTGAAATGTAGAAAAGAATTAAAATATTAAATTATAAAAATAAATAAAAGTTTTGGAAGCAGAACTTTAATAGATTAATTAATTTATAGTAATGGAAAATTAACAAGAATTAATAAAATTCTAAATTTATAAATTACGTGTCTAATTAAAAATATTCCATGAATTCCAAATTTCAGTAATACACAGGTTTTTAAAACAAATTCAGTAATTAATAATAAAAATTTGTTAAATAATCAATTTAACAAATTTCTGAATTAATATTAACAATCGTATCACTGCTATTATGCTATTTCAGGAATATTTATATAAAAATATTTATTAAATACAAATACAAAATTTTAAATTTTACAAAAATTGATTAATTTCAAAAAAATTTTGCATATTTTTTATTTTTTTTTTTTTTAGCTAGCCTATCATCATACTACCAATATTATTTTCCAAAAAAAAAAAAAAAAAAGAGAAAACCTAACATTTTTCATAATAATTGAAAAAAAATCAATGCTTCAATTATTGTAAATAATATAAGAAATTTATAAGCTTATTGCATTGCAGCAACAAGTACTCTGTTCATAATAATAAAATAAAATTTAAAAAAATAATGTTCAAATGTAAATATTTATATTGTATATAGAATAATGAAAACAAAAAAAAAACAAATTTAGAAGAAAAAAAAAAGCAAATATTAAATACCAATTTTAAAATAGAGAAAGAAAACCAATTAGAATTCACATAAATATGGCTATTTTAAAATTAAAAATATTAAAAATTCAAAATATTTATAAAAATGTAAAATTTTTAAAAATGAAATTTAACATTGCCAAATTATTCACTCATAATACGAGTATTGTCTAAGCCGTATCACTTGATTCTTGGTAGGAATATTTTCCAAAATTAAAATTAAAGAGATTTAATATTGAAAATCTCAATATTTTTCAATAATATTCCAATCCATTTTAATTGATATGTCCATAGATAATGAATATAGAGTGATTTCATTTATTAACAAAATTATTAAAAAAACAAAGTCTTGAGAATGAAACAAAATACAATAATTATATTAAAGTATTAAAGAAACAAAAAAAAAAAATAAAATACCGAACAAAATGCTACTGAAATCTTTTATGAATTTTTTTTTTTTTTTTTAAATGTATAAATAAATGGAAATTATATACAACAAAATGAAAAGAATGAAATTCAAGTCTAATTGTATTCAATTATTGTATTAATTATAGAAATCATAATTATATAAAAATAAAATTATATAAGAACAAAGAAATCAAATTATGCATTACAATTATAATAATTAAATAAATTCATAATTTCATTAAAATTGGAAATAATCATATAAAAAATAATCATTTTATCACACATAATTCGAAACGTTTAAAAAAAAATATTCAAAACAAAAATTTGTTTGTTTTACTTTTTATCAAATTAAATTTTTTTGTTTTTTATTAAATTCAATGAATAAATAATTTATTATAAGATTAAATAATGAAATTTTTTTTGCTTATTATATTTTATATTTTTAAAAAAATTGGCGTATCCATTTGAGAATTTTCTAAAAAAAAAAAAAAAATTAAATAAACAAATTTATTTATGAATTTTTCGATTGTTATTAATTATTGTTAATATTAAAAATGCTCATAAATTATAAATTTGTTAATTATAATTATAAAAAAATTTTGAAAAAAATTTAAGAAACAAAAAATTTAAGAAACAAAATAAAAAAAATAATACGAAATTTTTTGTAATTTTTAAAGCTAACATTAGGATTAGCGTTTGCGTTTCATATTTTATTATTGAAAATAAAATTTTTAATCAATTTTATGTTTTTCGGATTATAATATAAATTAAACTCGTTCTTATTCATTTAATAAATAAATAATATTTTTCCACTTGTTTCTTTTTTTCTTTTTCATATTTTAATGAAATTTACAAATATTTTGCTCCCATAAACTCTTTTTTAAAAATAAAAAAAAGGGAAACTACTTTTTAAATGTGAATTTATAAAAAATTATACAAATTAAATTTGAATTTTATTAATTAAATTAAATAAAAAAAAAAAATTAATGTATAAAATTGTCTGATACTATTTATATATGTATATGAAAATTAAAATATGCTTATAAATTATAAAATATAAAAAATATAATTAGGCACACATAATGTATGTGTATAAATAAATGTATTATGAAAAAATTACATATTATATAATTTAAAAAACGAATTTTCAGTGAAAATTATTTGAAATATTAGAAGCGATATATTAAAGACGAAAAATTCATTATGAAAATAACAATAATTTATTTAAATATTGCGCTAGAATTATGTTTATGTAACATTTAATTTAATATCATATTCAGCCCTATCATAAATTTCATTCGTAATTCTGAAATTCTGATATAATATTACGAATATCATATTTCAATTATGAATTATTAAAATTCTGTTCCGAATATTCGTAATTGAGTTATCATAAATTATCATACGTTCGTAATTAAAATTACCCTCAAAGAAAGAAATAATCACTAGTAACAAGCAATTTAAAAACAATAGTCTTAAAAAAAATTTTATATTTTGAATTTTCTTGTTTGAGTTTGAGCTAGTCTTACACAGCTTAACATATCATGAAAGGAAATGAATTCATATTTCAAAAAAATTTTTCCTTTTCACTTTTCAAAAAAATATTCAAAAATTTAAAAAAATGGCAAAAGACTTTTTAAAATATTCTTTAAATATGAAAGTTGTTTATACTGAAATAGCAACTAAAGAAATATAGGGGGTTTCCGTTTATGCACGCTGCGCTTCTAAAAGTTCTACATTAAAACTAAAATTTCTAAATTGCAGAGCGTTAAGCAGTATGCAAAAATTTTAGCTAATTTTTTTTTTGTTTACGCAATCTGCAAATTCTGAAATTTCTAAATAATCAATCGTTCAAAGATAAAAGAAATTATTTTGTTTATAAAATTTTATCCCAATACTTTTCGCCCCCCAATTAACTGCAAAATAAGAAAATTTTAACAAGATTTGAAAACTTAAAGAAAACTTACTTTAATAACCCATGAATATTTGAATCTGCCATTTGAAAATTAAAAATTTTTTTGTATTTTAAATTTAAAATTTTCATGAGGCAGCGGCAAAATTTATACTAGAGGTCTATGCTATATTTTTAACATTTTTTTTTTGATTGCAGATTCAATTTCCGAATGTACTAAAT